TAAGTCACTGTACGGCTTTCAAAACTGAGAAAACCAATGCCATATAGTCCACTTTGAAGCCTTGACAAACAAATGTTAAATTTTTCTCAACACAATTGAAACAAAACAACTAACTGCATACATTAAATACATACATGTATTATGAAAAAGAAATTTGACAGACTTAAACCAGTCAGGGATATAACTCTATAGGGTTATTACAGAAAAATAACATACATTTGTTACTGTGGACTGAAAAATCAAAGAACTGTGATAACATATGTATGTTACATGTTTCAAAGGGACAATATACATCATTAGTTTAGTTAAAATGTATGCAAGTTCTATTGATATTACTATTGTCTTTATGTATACTTAACTATAGAAAGATATAACAGTTCATAGTTTGACAATTTTGAATAGTATACCTATGTTATTACAGAAAATATATGCCTGTAATAACTAAAGGGTGTTATCACAGCTTCTCTATATCACTCCAAAGCATTTGCTGAGACATACATCATGCTTAATTACAATGTATTTTAATTTATTGTAAGAAATAATGACCAGAGCATGTAATGAGGTTCTGCCAAGCTTCCCAGTGATTCCCAAGTGTCTCATATAATAAGTTACATTCCTTTAATAACTAAGCCTTGTTATTACAGCTAAGTTTATCCCTTAAAAGCCTTGTCTCATTGATTTACCATGGTTAATAAAAAATGTATTAATTTAATTTAAAAATTAGTTATCAAGGCTATGCATTTAGTTTCTGCGCAAAGTCTCAAGAGTTCCCTAGAGCCCACTATAAATTAAAATATTTTTTATTTATTTTACAAATAACAAACATATGTTATTACAGATTTAGAAAATTTAAGGAATAAAGAGTAGATAACTCATGAAAGTATCTGTAATAACACACGCAAGTTATTTTCTGTAATAACCCTATAGAGTAATATCTCTGACTGTAAACCAACAACAACTATTGCAATAAGCATGACTCAATACCTTGTTTCCGAGGCACACAAACAAGTTACAATAACACTAATATAAGCACCATTTGAATATGGAGATTTTTTTTTCTAGTAAAATCAGTGTATGTATGTATTTGCAAAACAGTAAATTAAATTTCCCTTAACAGCTTAATGAACATTACAAAGACTATGTAAGACTTCAGCACAAGCAAGATAATATAAACTGTTGCTTAAAACTATATTTATTGCTTCATACACACAATGTACATACAATGTATCTTTTATTTTTTAACAGGAGCTAAAAGAAAAGCCACAAAGGACAAGTTCAATATGCAGGTTTACAATTTGGAAGTGGCGCAGGTTCTTTGAAATGTCTACAACCTTTCAGGAGAATTTTTTTTTGAAGTAAGATTTTCATACAGAATTACTGTTATTCCATATTTAATTCAAATATTTAGCATAAACAATGCATTACATTCAAGATTAAGGGCATACAATACAGAAAAGATATCTGGATATTTGAATAAATTATATTTTTTGTGACAAAATAGAAACAAGTTGTTTATTTAAATCAATCTTTTAGTCCAACAGTGTGCTTTCATAAACATATTTGCTTTCCTTTGAAGTATTTCAAATACATACATGTATAAACAACTCATTTAATGACATCTGTGTGTTTCTCGGAAGTTAAGTTATATTATTATCATCATTGAAAAAACAATGCGTAACACTTCGATAAGTTATTATGTGCCTATAGTATACTTCTAGGACTGTATCATATGCCCTTAGATACAAATGACAAGTTATAAACTATGTCACTCTACAGAGTTTAACACTTAAAAAGGACAATAAGATGTTTAATGACATTATGTAGCAGGGCTTTTAAAGGCCCTTACATGATACAATGCATTTAATGAAAACTAAAAAAAAAACAAGAAAAACAACAGCCTGATTTATACAAAACAATAAAAGAAAAAAAATGATAGACAACAATCAACGAGTATAATGAAATAAGACTCTGGACTGGAAACATATCTAGTTATTTATGTGTTTTTTTTTAATAACTAAATGAAGTTCAGCGTGGCATATTGCTCTCTCTTAACACTGTCAGCCATTTATAGTCCCCTTCCGACAGACTATCATCGTTATTTGTTTCAAAACTTTAAAGGGGAGGGGATGTATATCCTTCAGGCAACTTGAATCGTTCTATAATAAAGGAATGTGCAAGAAGTTCATATATGAATGTAAGATTAATTTTTTTTTCAGAAGCATGGCACAGCAAGAAAAAGATATAAGACACTACAAGACATTCCTAGTGATTTTGAATAAGACAATTGATTGACTTTTTCAATGTATTCTTAAATAAATCAAATAGTTGATGTAAAATGGTGTTTTGTTCTCATCTGTTCAGCCAATTATCAATGATTATTGACTTAAGATGTAACCCTATTAGAAGTGTAGCGTTTTAGTTTAGAAAGAGAAGTTGTATTGAAAAATCTGAATTTGGGACACAAGTTTTAGTCAATGTAACTTGAACTTAAAAATGAGTATAATATTTGCATAATGTCCAATGGCATATATGTCATGCATGTTCAGGTTGACATATGCATGATGTGTATAAGATAGGTAATAAAAGTTGAGAGTGAAAAACTAAACATTATACCATTGAGGTTGGAATGTGGGTTTTCTTGCACTGTCTGTCATCTGTCCACCTATATTTGTCGGATTTTGTCCAACAAATATTTTCATCAAGTGCTGTTTTTCACAAAACTGCTGATAAAGATGAGTTCATATTTAATGAGCTGCTTGATAGTGATGAACTGTGATGTGTGAACATTTTTGTATCTGGCACCTGTTTCCTGTTTGCTTATACTTTGTATTTCAAAATTTTGAATGTTCTCAAATTTTTCATTACTTTAATTAGTAATGCTGATGAACAGAATGACTTCATATTTGGTAAGTGGCTTGACCATGATGAGTTGTGTCTGCCATTTTGGATGTGTCAAAATTTGTAGATACTTCTTGTTTTTAGAGACTTTGAATTGTGAATTTCATATAATTAGCAAAACAACTGATTTGTTCTTGTTTGGATACATGTATAGAATTAATCACTGTGTATAAATTAATTTAACTAATGATTTGTTATTTAAAAAAGCAGGAAACTCAATTAAAAGTACAGACATTTTTTTATTGATATGATCTAGATATCAACCAAAAACATCTTCTTAACAGTCTCACTTGCAAGAAAACATCCAAAAAACATTTTTATAACATTATTTGATGTTCATGATATTTTTCAAACGTTCAGAAAATATTTCTAGAAAATATTTTTTAAAAGATTATCAAAATGTTTTATACGCCATTGTTTTTCACATTATCATGATATTTCTTTACAACATTTTAATTATATTATGCAAATATTTTAGAAAATATATTAGAAAACGTTTTAGTGATATATATTCTACCATACATTTAATGTTTTTCTCACGTTTTTTTGTGATATTTTCATGACATTAGACACAACATTTTAAAAACATTTTAAAGATGTTTTTGTGTTTGCTGGGTTGGTAACAACGTATATTAGTACTCCTGGCTTGTTTGGTTTGTCTACTCAGATTGACCTTTCCGTTTACGGCATATCCGCCCATTTAGAAAAACTTGCGATATCCTGCCGGTTATAAGATGTTGTTACCGATATTATTTTAATCGTAAATATGCCATACAAAACGTATACATCCGAGACAAAATAAATGGAGGAATCGAAGAATATGTTTAATAACAGTGCATGAGCATATTTTTCCAGCATAATTTTCGATTTATGACACATTTCGATATTCGAAACAACCACTCCTGAAAACGAAAGTCGCTTACAGAAGTTTTGAATTACCACGTTCTTGATATCGAGTGTATAACGAACTTAGACATATTTTAGTCTCGATCTTTAATAAGTATGACGTCGCCTCAATGTATGTTTCATTTCATTGAAAAAACTGGCATGACCTATCTGTTAAATAGAAAGTCACATTATTCTTTTAAATTTCTGTTTGTAAAATATATGTTTGATGGTGTGCTTATACTTTCTTGAAATGTAAGCTTATACTAATATCTTCTGAGTGTACATCTCTTCTTTCAAATTCTGCTCGAAATTAAGGCCAACCGAAATAAAAGAACGAAGTTTGGCCTTACACATGTCAAAATTTACACCAACGAACTTTGAACTTTGGTGGATAGTTGTCTCATTGGCAATCATATCACATATCCTTATTTTTATTTTGAAATACAAAACCATATTACAAACGTGATATGGTGAATGAAGTTTAGAAATAGTATATTTGCTTTTCTGAGTTAAAAAACCATGCTTCAGTTAATCATGTTTATCAATAATAACACGATTTTCAGTGCGTTTAAATTAAAGAGTACCACGAGACAGCCATTGTCTCTTGTTTTTGGTTAAATTCAGCTTAAACTGATTAAATCACTGCAACAATTGTATGGGCATCATCACAAAATGTCAGGTGCGAGTGTCACAATGTATTGAAGTTCATCTTAGCTTAGTGTTGTATGTTTACTGACCATGATATTGCACGTGTCGTTCGCACTAGCAATTTTTATTTACCGCTTGTTTGGTACTGTTCTGTCAAACTTCGTGGATAACAAGTGTATAACAAAATTACCGAACTCCAAGGAAAATTCAAATCGGGTAGTCCCTTATCAAATGGCAAAATCAAAAGCGCAAACACATCAAACGAATAGAAAACAACTATCATATTCCTGACTTGGTACAGGCATTTCCTTATGTAGAAAATGGTGGATTAAACCTGGTTTTATAGCTAGCAAAAGCTCTCGCTTGTATGACAGTCACATAGAATTTTATTATATTAACACCCAGTAAGTAGCTAGTTTTTCTGTATTTTAAGGTTTAGATGATTTATGTACAATGATGTAGTGCTGTCTTTGAATATCTATGAAGAGCACTAAATAGTAATAAATCTTTTGACTGTTAATGTTGTTGTGTGTGGACATTTCATTGTCTGGGTTTGCTGTTCCCAGATGTCTTCATGTTTGTATTGGCGTATTCCTATTATATTGCTTTTGATTTATTGTTCGTGCATAGAATAATTGATTTCGATTGCTGACTATCCCTGTAACATAATACATTTTTGTTTGTACTTAAACTAGTGTGCCTGTACTATTTAGATAGCTACACATTGAATTACTTAAACCTTGAATGAATGTTAAAGTCGAAATAAAGAAGACCGGTATCACACTTTCGGCACAAGTAAACATCTGGAAAATTCTTATTAATTTCGCATAAACTCGCATTTATGAAAATATGAAATATCTTAAATGAATGAGAATATAAAACAAGTTTTATATACTAGTACTTAGTAACATTATTTCATCATTTCGTATTATAATGATTATTAGTGTTCTTACATAGTAATACCTTAAATTTTTTAAAACCAATAATTTCTACAAAATACAGCTATTTACCCGCAAGATTGTAGCGATATACCAATACGATATCCTTCAGGAGTTTACAGAATTTATCCCAACCCTTCAACTGACTTCAGTGTGTTCTGTGACATGGAAACAGCGGGTGGTGGCTGGACTGTACGTATAAGTAATATAAGATTTGAAAATGGAATTATGATTTACTCTTAATGATGTTTAACCATACGCCTTTTCCTACTTTCTGCCAAAACTTGATAATGGCATATTTGTATGTGTTCGTATGTACTTTATTAGCAAATTTTACAAATAACCTTTTTCTAATACACCTTATCGCTATTCCCGCTTGACCCGAGAATCTGTCCCGCTCGAACTTTTGACGTCATACAACAATCACTTTTCCATTGTGGCGTCAGACATTTTCTATTATGACGTCAAAATTTTACGGGAACTTGTGTGATGTCCAGTAATGGCGGACAAATAGCGATAAGGTGTATACTAAACTATGTTAGATATCAAAGTTACTAGGTCAACATTGGCAAAAGTAATCTTGATTTTTCAATAGAATTTTGAAAAGAAAAAGAGTTGAGCATCCAGCACGTTTACACTAAGCTTTCTGTATATATAAGGGAATGACCTGGAAACGAATGGCTATGGCTTTACTGTACGTAGTAGTAGTGAAGAGTACAGAAAGTTCATATTTTTTTTGCCATACGTCTTTTCGATTTTGCAACAAATCCAGCTACACAGTTAAAAATACGAACGTTCATGCAAATAAAAAATACATTAACAATCATGGATTTTATTTTTGGACTTTATTAGACATTATTGTTTTCTTACTACATTTGATATTATTAGTTGTCTTGATATTATGCTAAATGGCAACGGTCACAATTCTTAACCATATACGACTCCAAAAATGCTTACATATAAATATAAATACACTAGTGCAGAGCTCAGAACAGCGGTGTCAATATTTTCAACCACTCTTTTGGTAGTCCTTACTGTAGTTGTTATCATTGTCAAGAGAGATAAGTCTTAACATTACTAACAAAAGACTTTCTTTCGCAATTTTCAACGTAAAAGATAGCAAAAAACAAAAACATCGATATCTGGCTAGAAAAGACCAAATGCCATATATTCATGTTCGAACAGTTGTTTATAAAATTTCATTTTTAAGATAATTTTTTTTTACAATGTATCAACTCTTGAATTTATATCTTTATAATATGTTTTAATATGTGTTCTTGGGAGCTAATAAACACGTCGTGTATTATCTTTATTTGTATCATATTTTTCCTACTTCTGTACATTGCATTATTGACCGTTTAATGACCAAACACCTTATTTCTTTTCTTTGGATTTGTTTTTTTTTATATCGCTTAAGTCATTACTAATGATAAATAGTATTAATTTTTAATCGAATCTTTGGTCTGTACATTTTCTTATTACTTTGTTGTTGGTATTATTTTTCAATCTATTTTGTTCTCTGCCCATTTTTTAGTTGCAAAGGATTTAATTTTTTAATTTTGAACTCTACCAATATTTGATCCTTTAATGTACTTTTAATATTGAAGCTATTCAATTGATCAGTGTTATTTCTATTATATAGTAAAATTGCATTGAATTTCAATTTTTTATTGATCCTATTGTGACCTGAGATCGACCTCGGTTTTAGTGGGGTTCGTGTTGCTCAGTCTTTAGTTTTGTATGTTTGTTATACTGTTGTTTGTCTTTTGGTCTTTTTTCTCTTTATTTGCCATGACGTTGTCAGTTTATTTTCGACTTGTAAGTTTCAATGTATCTGTCGCCTCCACCTTTAAAGAAACGTTCCTCATTTCAAAGGACTATGCTTATTTATCTTTGATACTACTGATATTATTTTGATTGTCGACAGTGTTTGCTAAAATTTAAGTGTATTCATAAAAGATAATATACGTTTTTGAATTACAACAATGTGTAATAATATTTGATAAGATTGTTTATCAAAACGCTAGATTCCGGAGAAACGAGGAAACAATAAGAAAGAAGACACAGAATTGGACAAAAAATGCTGTATACGAATATCTCATAATTCTATAATTTTCAATGCAGCCCTTATTTGACAGTTTTATTTATTTCAATGACAAATGTGTGCATTGGTCCACTCTTTAATTAATGTTTGTGCATTGTTGTAGAATAAATCAGCCCGTCGGTTTTCTCTCTTGATTCTTTCAAATTTGTCATACGAGGCCTCTCATAGCATACACTACTAGGTGAGATTTACTTATTGTTGAAGGTTGTACGTTTACCTGTAATTATTCACATCTTTGTCCTTTAGTAAATGGGTATATGGATAGTTGTCTCATTGTCAATCATACGACACCTCCCTATTTTTATAACTATTCAAGCCTTTCGACAAACACCCCCAACAGTACTTTATAAGTAAAGTGTGTTCGAAAAAGGGATAACCATTGTCGGCTCTATAAAATGCAGTTTTTTTTTCAAAACTACTTAAATTTCTTCAAAATGTAGGGAAGTGAATATAATCATGAAATATAAATCAATAATACAAGGTTATTGTGTAGTTTTCCTTCAATACGTTTTTTTCAATAAAAAAATGATGCAACGAAATAAAAAAAAATTCATTCAGAAAAGTTTTCATATTTCCATATTTGATGTGTTTCCTTCAGTTTTATTTTGTAACCCGGATTTGTTTTTTCTCAATCCATTTATGAATTTCGAACAGCGGTATACTACTGTTGCCTTTATTCATATATCTGTTTACCAAATTTTTTTTAACAATTTAAAAAAAAAGAAGGAAATCAACAAAATTTTCAAAATAGACTAACTTTGTTGTTGTTTGTTACTATTCAAATATGAAATTAGTTTTTTATTTTTCTGAACTACTTTCACCTCGATAATGCTATATAGAAGGAAGATGTGGTACGATTGCCAATGAGACAACTCTTCACCAGACACCAAATGACGAATAAGGTTTGCAACTGTAGTTCATCTTAGTACTACGGTCGTCAACAATAAGCAAACCATATTGCATAGCATACTATAAAAAGCCCCCAAAATGACAAATGGAGTAACATCACAACATAAGAACAATACATACAAAGCATAAAAACAACTAATAGAAATACTAAAGACACAAAGTAAAGATCTGAAAGTACTCGCAGTTACTGAAAAGTAAAATAACAAAAATACAGAGCTCCAAGGAAAATTCAAAACGTAAAGTCCTATATCAAATAGCAAAATCAAAAGCTCAAACACATCAAACGAATGGACAACAACTGTCGTATTCCTAGTTCAAAGCCCCAAAATATCATGTATCTAAGGCTGAAATATCAACCAGTACACATCCAATTTCCAATGGATTTAGTGTAAAGATGTCCTTAACAGTGAGAGAAAAAAAATATAACCTTGTGCAATGCTAAAATATAGGTACTAGTACCGACAGATTGTAGGACAATGAATGTACATATAGTTAGTTTGGTTTTAATTTATTGATAACAAAATCAATATTTATACCAATTAAACAAAATTCAAAGATCTAATTACAATGTTGGATTGGTAAACTTTTAGAATAAATTTATGTAAAGGATCTTTATGTTTACCTGAATCGTATCTAAATTTACGGGCTCGGCAAACAACATCACCATAAAAATAATGATGTGCTATCCGTTTGTAATAAGATTTTTACAGATACATTCAATTTCCAATATAAATCTTTGTATCTATGAACGAATTTAGTAAATAATTTGAGTCATGTGTGGTAACGAAATACTTGACTTTATAACTTATCAGTATTAGATTACGTTCATTGAATTCCAAAACGTCACTACAGACACGGGTATAGCGAACGAGTTGGGTTATTTAAACACTGTGAACTGGTTCCATAGGAACAACACCGTCCAAAAAATATGCACATTTAAAGACATTTATGGTTACTTATAAAGGAAAAGATATGATAGGGTTGTCATGAAATATAAGTTCCTTCATAATATAAGTTCCAAGTGGAAGAAATTTACCCTAATATTATTTCCACTGCCACAAATATGACAAAATTTGTTCCTTACAGAATAAAGGGTATAGAAAATTTGTTTCAAAAAGATCAGATATTATGGCATTGTTTATAATAAAGCTTATGTTAGGCGGAACAAATGTACGTTGACAGGGTCACTTGCTTTGCGCCTTGAATTCAGATATTAAAAAGTATTCTAAATCTACCAAATAACATCCTTCCTATGTTAATAAGACATGAGTCAGATACGATATTCATGAGCTTGCATTTCCTATCATGATTTTTCTTGATAGAGGGTTGCTGCTTACTAGGAAGCTTTTATGTTATTAAACGAAGAATACCAAGTGGTAAATTTGAAGTCATTCCTTCGAAAATGATGCGGATGGCATTATGAGTTGGTTGACCGTTATGAAATATATGTTTCACAGATGACGACGGATATGTTCCAATTGTCATAACCATAATGCCGTCCTCTTTTTCTGAATCACACTTATCACCGGGTTTGTCCTTACACGAGCAACACGACGAGTGCAACATGATCTGCTTACCCTTAAGAACACTATCGGTTTTTGGTGGGGGTTCGTGTTAATAAGTCTGTATTTTATATGCTGTGTTTTGCAGACTGTTTGTCTTTTAATCGTTTTCCGTTTATTGTCATGGCATAGCAAGTTATTTTTCGACTTATGAGTTTGACTCTCCCTGTGGTACCTGCTGCACTCTTCTTCAGACAGATATCAGTATTTATTGTTTTAATTTGCATTAAGGCTTCAAACTTCTTTTACAAAACTGTAAGAACCACCAAAATAGTCTTATTTTGAGATCATTTTAATAGTATTTAGATACGAGCAACGATTAAACCTTAAATGATAATTATCTTCAAAAATATATTTTATAAAGATGTTCATGTGTGTGAAGTACCTATTTGGATATTGCTCATTTCTATTTTTCCAAAGAGTAAGCCTAAAATGGCAACTTTTTGGTCAAATATGTCAATTTCATCTTAATTATGACGTTATAGTGACATCACACATATCTTTTCTTCCCTTAATTGTCCAGATCATATCAGATTGCTCATTTATCAATAAGATAAACATAACAATGAAAATCTTCAATACTTTTACTATTTTGGTACGTCACGGACCCAATAATG